TAATCTAAATAATCTAAAACATCTAAATCCGATTGTGTTGTATATTATTATATATATTCAGAATAAATAAAAGATTAGTTTTTTTTATCTATTAATATTTTATACCAATAATATGAGATGGAATGTCTATGACTAAAATGTAAAACACGTCTTCTAAATACAGTTTACATAGTACACATTGCCTGCAATTATTTTATAGAAAATGATGTTTTAGGATTACGATGAACGTCCAATAGTACAACGACATAATGGAGATTACGATGAAAGACGAGCTTATTCTGAGTACTGTGGAAACGAAGTATCTCAACGTATGTACACACCAACACCGCAACGTACGCAATATGCTGTCAATGATTTAGCAGATGACAAACGTAATGACAGAAATAACTATAGCTATGATGAAAGAACAAGATTAGAATATGAAGATTCGCCACAACCTCCTTCAACACCTCAAACAAGAAGGATGGCAACTCATCATAACGAAAGGGTTAGATTTAAATAAGTATATTATTTTCATAAAATATTAAGCTTAATGCAGTCCATAATATTTAGCTGAATATAAAATGGCATATAAAATGCTATATATAAAAAGCTTTTAATAAAATTAGTACGTTTTATTATTTACAGGAAGACACAAATCAAGTACCCGGTTGGATAAGACATCCCGAAAAGGAGAAATGCAGAAACCAATTTCACTATCACAGGCGGCCAGTAACGAGGGTATGTTTTACGGCATTTTTTTCAGTACGCTTGATTAAATTTGAAGTATTTACTATTTTTAATATATATTTTTCTTTTAGAATTCAAATATATTATCTGCTGTTCTGTGCTTGGTTAAGGAGTTGGATTATCCAAGTCTGGAAGTGGTAGAAATGGCTGTTAGAAATCGAATGGATGAACTAGAAGAATGATGTTTCTGACACCGTCCCCAAAATCCACAGGGGACGGTCGCTCTCTCCCATATCGGCAGCATGTCTTCTGTTCCCAGCCCAGAATTCTCTGATTCGCTTGATTCTACCATAACTTTAAGCCAATATGCTAATAACGATGGAAATTACAATAATGACGAACATCGCATACTTGACCGTCAGCTACTCGAAGAAAATAACGATAAGAGTCAAATTCGACGAAATGAATCTGCCGAAAAAGTTTGCTCAACACACAGCCCGAAAACAGTATCGATTGACCCGAGCCCAAGATTGCTCGGAAATAATCAATCCATGTGTAAAATCAAAGATTCCGTATTGGATAATTCACCATCGAGAAATCATCACGAGAGAAAAAGCAATGACGTAAGACGTGTAGCGAGCAGTGACAGTATTCCTCGTGGTAATTATAACAATGTCATTTTGAGCCAGGGATGTAGAGTTTTAAGCCAAGATTGTGTAAGAAGATCAAAAAGTTCTGATGTTAAGAATACAGTTACACCACTTCGTTATATTCAATCGGCAAAAGGAACGTGGACATATAATTTGTAAGTTATGTCGACAACTTGACAAAATCTTAAATCTTACTAATAACCAAAATCTTCTGTAAATGCAATCAGACATAATCTTTTCGATAAAAACGAAAAAAAAAGCAATGAAAAAATTCGGTAATGGATACAAGACTTAAAAATTGAAGATTGGTCTCATCATGTTATTTCGTAGGAAAAGTCTAAATACATGTAAAATTTACAAATAATTGTGATATTTCTGCAATGACTGAAGAAAATGTAATTATCTTCATGTATTATGTGTACATTTAACAACATGTTACAATCGTCATTTCTGTTAATAAGAAACGCTAAAATCAAAACTAATAAAATTTGGTTTCAGCATATCTGACGATTGATATACGAGTAATTTTATTTAACAGCCGTTAAGTTTTTCCAAAGTTTTATTAAAATAAATTTGTTAAATATATATTAAAACAAAATGTATAAAACATTGTCTATGTATAATACAAAATCAAAGATAAATTATATGCGCTATTAAATATTTTCTCAGTAAAAAAGTATTTGGAGTTTTTTTTTAGAGAAAGAAAATTATTTGGATCAATAATAGTTTGTTTGAAGATCAATGTTGAAAAAAATAACAATTTTTACGTTAAAATATAATACGAGTAATACCTCTTCTAAGCTAGCAGGACCAAATTGGCAGAATCAAACCGAACCTATCAGAATATTTAGTACCCATTTTGTACTATTTTGTACCACTAATAACAATTTTGTATCCTGTGCCATTTCGGAGAAAATCGTGGCGGTGCTACCTTAGCATTAAGCTAGAAAGACCACAAGAAAAAAAAAGAAAATTAAATACAGAAATTTGAAGGACTGAATTTGTACTAATTTGTACCATACAAATAAACTTAATATATTCATCTCTTCTGCTTCAAACAGCTCCTAATAGAACTCAGTCCTATTAGTCTCAAGAGTAAAGTACTCGTTCTCATCAGCAGAATCAATTGCTACTTGTAAACTCGATTCAGGATAATTTGTATCACAAAAATATGAAGTTTCAGATTTTGTACCCTAGCCGTTTGATGGAAAACTACCCCCGATCCCTAACAATCTCAAGAGTGAAGTACTCTTTCTTTTTATTTTAGTGTTCAGAATTTAGTAAACAATATTTAGTCGTAAAATAATTTTATTCATTTTAAGTACAGTTCTCTCTTAAGCCAGGAAGATGGGATGGTTTTCTTGCGAAGGGGTTGTAGCTCAATAATCAAAATGCGCGTATTTTAAGAGTTTATTCTTAGAGTTTATACGCTATACGAATTATATCCGCGATACGATATATTTAAATTTTTCTCAACATTTTTCTCTTGAGTTGAATCAATTAAAAGATTGTTTCGGGGTTAAGAGGATGAGATCAAAAATCCAAACTATATCATTTTGAAAACTCATAAATAGCTCCTAATTCTGCCGTAAAAATCAATTCAATATCTATTTTTAAACGTTGACTCAGCCCCCATAAAAAATATTAAATTCCTGTTCAGTGTGACAAGCTCAAAAATTTTAATCTGCAGGATATAAAAGCTCACAAATAGCTTGTAATTTTGCGCTATTTTTTTTTTAATTCCTGCAAGGTGGGGGGGGGGCCAGCTCAACAGGGGTCTTACTAGTATTTGGGGCGAACACGACGCAGTTCAGATTTACTGTGCTTTCATCTGAATCTGACCGATCGGAACCGATCGCTTTCAATTATTTCATTTTATTTTTCCTGTCGTTGACATAGCTCTAAAAATTCGCGAAAGGATATAATCTGACGGGTGTGTGAAGCTGGCACTCCTACTTTAAAATTCGATAGTTCTGATTAGAGAGTTTCAGCTTCTTTTCGAAGAGTATCTACACGATTTATGTTGAAAAGTTCTAATGCTTTTCGCTTGACTAGCGCTCAATTCCTGATATTACGAGATCGCAAGGTCACGCTATGCTACAGGTAATAAGGGAAATATATACATGGAAAAAAAATGATGTATCAACAGCATCATTTTTTGCCAGCCATTCTATTAGCCATCTTATGCCGGGTACTCACTAAGACCGTGCAACGTGCAACGCAACGATTGCTGCAACTAGTGAGTACGTCTTATTTCAGAACACATTGTGAAAAAATTGTAGCAACCGTTGCGTTGCACGTTGCACGGTCCTAATGAGTACCCGGCCTTAGGTTTTAAACGGTTATGACAATCCTTGTGCTTTAGCCCAAAGGCTATTGTACAATAAGCTGCGATAATTTCAACTTCATAAAATGTCGAGAAATTAACACAAGTGTGTAATCAGTGTGAAAAATGTCTGCTGAACCGTCGGTCACCCGCAGTATCGGCGCGTCGAACGCTACAAGAAGCCGCACGAAATCCCAAATACGAAAACCGTCGCATGAACGGACAATCGAAAACCCCAAGCTGCGAATCAAATACAAAATCAAAGCCTCCACCCCTCTCAGAAGGCGCCAACCAAAAAGTAAGGTGGCGCCCAGAACTGCACACCAAGGGCACAGAAGAAACCAAAAACTACCCGTCGCCACCTCTCACTCCCACCTCGTGCAGGGAGTCACAAATGCCAAATGCAACACTCCAATCCGGTATCACCAATGCCAAAAAGGAAAAAACATATAATGGAGAGCACTAATACAGAAACACCCTCAAAAATAAGAATTGGGGATGTCGAAATTTCGCCAGGAGAGACCCTTCTCCGGACCAGGTCAACGACCCGCCGCGCCGCCAGACGAACTCACGATACTCTGCGAAGTCAAAGTCACACTGAACAATGCAACATCCAAGACACCACGTCGACACGAAGCACCGGAATGTAAACCCGCTGATGTCCCTAAACGGTCCTTTAATAAAAATTCGAAATTTTCCGACGTGACGACTTCCGTTGATGGAAGGGAGACTCAGGCGCACAAGCGCACTCCCGCCGAACAAAACCGCGCCTTCCCGGCAATGCTCGAGACAAACATGACGGAAAAACGAACAAGCCACGTAAACATAAAAGACATGAATCACGAAACTATAGTACTATAGAACCGCGGATAAAAAAAGCTGGCAATGTTCTGTACGGAACACATTGAGTCAAAAATTCATTTAAAGAATTATTCATTCATTCAAATAAAGAAAAAAAGCTGGGGAAAGGTTTCTTCTGGAAAAGATACATCCAGACGATTTTTGAAAATGCGGTGCCAACTTTACAGTGGCACACGCAGTATGCATATGTAAATAATTTAATTTAATAAAAATTTCAAGAAAATTTTAACAAAACGGAACCGGAAAAAAACTAAGTTGCGCATATATTATAATCTATTACCTTGAAAAGAATAGGCTCGGAAATGGATAGATTCTAGAGCCTAATAGAAAATATTTTTGTAATTTATGTAAATGAAAGTGGTCAGCGACTTCCCTCCCCTCATCCTCATTTCTCAGGACTACTAATTGTCAAAATACAAAACATATATGTGAAAAATAGATCTATAATTTTAAATTAAAGTCCATTAATGCTTTGCACATAATTATTGATACAATTATTATCCTAATTACGTATTAAAAGTAAATCATTAAATAAAAAACTGATAATATGTAAATAATTTAATTTAATACAAATTTCAAATAAAAAAATTTTGATAAACCGGAACCGAAAAAACTAATTTGCGCAATACCGATACTTTTGTTAGCTAGAAAACCGAAACAGAGAAACCGAAACCTTTATTAAATATTTTAATGTACCGAAACCGGAACCGAACCGATATTTTACTGGCTGCATGGATTGGTGAAAAATTTAAACCAAGAGCACTAAATATAAACAAAAAGGTATATTTCCGAGCGTTTACTAACAATAGCTATACATAGTTGTCCAAAAAAGTTCGCGCACGAGAAGTTTAGGCGAATGTTACCGATTCAAAGCTACTGAATTTCGGCAGTTCTTATTTCACCTACAGTACTTTTTTCGGAAGTTATGAATGAAATATGTGAATGGCAACTACGTAAAATGGAATCACAGTAGTCTTTCCAATGTGTATTCCATATTACCAATTTTTAATTCTTTACCTAAAAAATTTAGACCACGTTTTTTCTAACAGTTTGATATCTCTAGGAAACTATATCTGCTTGTGCACTTAAACTGGAGCTAACGTATTACAAAAGGAATGTTAGACAGTATTTAAATATTAATTAAATATTACGTAAAAATGTTTAGAGAAATCTGTATTAGGTATTTCTTTTAAAATATATTTTTGATAAGTTTCAGCTGCAAGTTCCAAAAAAAATAACGAAAATGTCTTAAACAAGAAGAGGCACGAGAACTGCGCTTGTTTGTATATTTTTATGCGTTTAAGTTTAGGTAAAGGTAAAGGCAACCAAGCGGCCGGCCCTGACTCAAAGAATGCAAAGAATATATTAACCGCATTTTAATCGAAATCGTCGAGATTATATCTTGATCGCGAATATCTGAATTTAAATAGCCTAATGTACACGAAACAACCGAAATTAAAAAATCAAACGATGAATAAATCAATAGGTAAATAAATCAATGTTGGAAAAAAATTAGTACAATCCGAATCGCGAACCGCGAACCACGAACCGAACCGCGAAATAAATCGCAAACATTATTTGATCTCACCCAATCTCACCTCAGATATCAAGTGATCATTATAAAAAAAAGTCACTCACCGACCGATGCGCAACGGACGGAGTTAGTCAGCCACGAAGCTCCGATGATTCTGTAACACAAAAATGAAAGATTCATATTAAATAGACGCTCAAAATAATCAATGTTTCAAAAAATAATTTTTAAACGTCACGTCTACGTCGTCTTTTAATTAGATTTACTAATATATAATTTACTTTTATTTCCTGAGAAAAACCTTTATGAGAATATAAACTTTTATAAAATTTTAGATAAACGTTCGGTTTCTCAAATTATTTCTTGCTTATCCGAGATAAATCGACGCGAATAAATAGAAAAGAACAATTAATTTTAAAAATGAGAAATAACACTTACCCCAAGGTTGCTCCGTCGGGGCCTGATGCCTTTGCCAGGCCTCCTCCTCCTCTCCACGATTCGGCAGGTCCTTCTCCGTTGCAGCGTTAATCCGTACTCCGTTGGCCGGTTGGCGCACTCCGCACTCACTCACGAACGTTCACGAAAATCGATGATAAGATCGCGTAGCTTATGATCGCGCGATATTTTCGACACTTTGCACGATACTCCCGGCATTAATCTCGCGACGCGTACTTGGTTACACGGCAACGGAAAAATTACGGCGGAGCACTACTCACTCGCGACTCGCGACTTTCACGAAAATCGACGATAAGATCGCGTCGCTTATGATCGCGCGATATTTTCGACACTTTGCACGACACTCCCGGCATTAATCTCGCGGCGCGTACTTGATTACACGGCGACGGAAAAATTACGGCGAAAAAGCTGTACGATCCGCTCGACGCCGCACCCGTGCCGCGAGCCGCGATCCGCGATCCGCGATCCGCGATGTCCCGCAGGTAGACGAACATGGCGGAATTTCGTAAATCGCACGGCCAACTTCACTCGCCAAAAGCAACCGTGGCGTCGCGTCCACTCACTCACGAGTCACGACATTCATGAAAATCGACCGATATCGTCGCTTATGATCGCGCGATCTCCGCGATATTTTCCAACACTTCGCACGACACTCCCGGCATTAATCTCGCGACGCGGCACGTACCTACTTGTTACACGGCAACGGAAAAATTACGACTGATTACGACGAAGAAGCTCTGCACTCTGCACTGATGCATGGAGTATGGAGCACGGGACGGGAGTCGCGGGACGCGGGCGCCGCGCCGCGGCTAACGGCTTCTCGTCAACGCGATTGGTAGGGACAAAGTGGGGGCTACAAGTGTCTAGGCACGGTGCGCGCACGGTATGCGTGACGTCAGCACGCCTCGAACCGCTCCTCTACCCCCACTACTCGTGTTTACCGCGGCGCGCACGACCGCACTTTAACGTCGCCCGTCGCCGGCCGCCGCTCTCACATCACAATATTCACAATCAGACCGCATCGCGGAATAATAATAGATAATACACGAATGAATCGCGCGGTTTAGATTACGAAAAACTGATGTATCGAATTTAATACATGTGCTTCGCGAAATTTATATAGATACCGAGGTACGTCGCATTCGATAATATATTCGATAGTATAATATTGATTATACGTTCTTTCGGACGATCAATCTCGCTTTTACCGACAATGACTCCGCGTCTCGCGTTATGTCGCGCCGACTTCGAAATTCGGAACAAAGTTGATTGGACATCGTTTTCGGAACACGGATAAAGAATTTCATTAACGATACGAATGGACGCTAAAACAACTCCGCTGTTGCGCATCAGCCGACGAGTTATTTTTCGAGCAGAAGGGATGAATGTATTATTTGTATGGTACAAATTTTAATTTTCTTTTTTTCTTTTTTTTTTCTTGTGGTGTTTCTAGCTTTGCTAAGGTAGCACCGCCACGATTTTCTCCGAAATGGCACGGGATACAAAATTGTTATTAGTGGTACAAATTAGTACAAAATGAGTACTAAATATTCTGATAGGTCCGGTTTGATTCTGCCGAGTGGTCCTGCTAGCTTAGAAGAGGTGTAAAAAATAAATGTATATATGTAGAAGATGATTTTGTACACAGATGGTATTCTATAAAAAACACTTAACTGTATATTATTTGCATATAATCTGATAATTTATAATTAAAATATAATCTGCATATATCGATGTTAAAAAATGTACATACACAAGCGAAAAACTAAATTCCTAAGTATTACCATTTCTTGTTATATTACTATTTTCTTTAATTTTATTATTTTATTACGGATGTGTACATTAATTTTTTAAACAATATTGCAAAGAAGTAAATTAATTTTGTTACATATATATATAGGATCAAACAGTATAAAATTGTACTTAAAATAGAATAACAAGCGAAATAACTATAGGAATGTATATTATATATAGATTAATTTTAAGCTGACGAACAAGTAATAGATAAGAAAAGCAGAAAGAAAACAAGGAATTACATTTCTTCTACAGACAGTACAGTTCCATCAATTCAGCCAACAACTAATAATAATTAGACTTAAGACATTTTATAACAATGTAAAACACAATGACTTTCGTTATCCAGAACCGTCCACTTACATTATTTTATAACTTGTAAACAATATTACTTTTAATGTATACAATTACATACAGATTTTATATATTATTTAAAAATTTATGTAAAAAATTTAACCTTGAATTATGAACAGTGCTGAAACAGTGTTGTAAACTTGTGTTATCGCATTTATATATATCAACTTTGTATTTCTTCGAAATCGATATTTTCCATACATTAATTAAACATTTTATTATAACTTGCCTAAAAAGTGGAAAATTATATTGGTACTATTGGTATCTAATATAAAAATATATATAAATATCAGTAAAGCATGTTGTATGATCTTCTCTCCTCTTTTATTAATTTTTATTTTTATACAATCGTTGACACCGGTCATAACTTTATGAGCAACTTGACGAATTAATGCGTCGATTGTAGTACATACCATAATTTTAGAAATTTTTTTGTATTCGTAGTTACAATTAAAAAATTAGTAAGTAACTAATTTTAAATACACATAAGTATTTTTGATTCATTATGATTAAAAAATATATTTCCCTTTAGAGAACATAAAATCTTTTTCATTATAATGAGAAAGAGAAAGAGAGAAAAACCAGACCAGAGAGATACTCGAGGTTATCTCTCTCGAATCGCATCGCAATATCGCAAGTTCGCAAGTCGATCAAAGTCGATCTGTCGGTGTAATATCGTGGAACTGTCATGTCGTAAGAGTCCACTCTCGGCCTCGGCATTGCTTATAAAAATGAACGTAAAAATGCGAATAATCGAAATACGTTGTCACTTTACGAGAGAACGCTTTGCCTAAACGAGACTAACGTCTTGACTTATGCTCATTTTAATATTATGTAACGATTGTTTGTATGTACTTTATTGAGTTCTAACCTCAATCTCAACAAGTGTGATGCTCGTTTTACGCGGACTCCAGAATTCAAATTCCCTCGTTGTGTTGGGTGGCCTCGCTTTGTGTCTTTTATTTATGATTCAAATAAAACAAATCTATAATAACAATCAAAAATATAACAGATATCTGAACTATAAGCAATATGTGAGATTTCCTTATATTTACATAAATATTTAACAATCGCCTGCATGTAGTTAACATCTTTATTTATTCTGTAGTGTGATTTTGAAGATAAGACACATTTGACACATTTCATACATTTCTAGATGAATGAAATAGCGACAGAATTGAGGGCAGTAGTAAAATCCATCAACAAATCATCGGCTTATGTTCATCAATTAAATGAAATGCTTACCAAGTATCGCGAAAGAGAGTCAAAGAATACATCAACATCAAGAGCTACTTTACCATCGTAAATACCTTAGGAGTTTAAATTAAGGTTGGTAAATTATATTTAAATTACAAGAGCAGGTTGTACTTGTGTCATTTAATTTTTCTCTTAATATTAAATGAATATTGAACATTGTTATAAACTCTATTCTTTTTCTATATATTAAGCTGAGTATTAAATTACAATATTTGTTTTTATTATTCATTACTTGGGTATAAATATTAAAAATTCTATATTATTGAGTATTATTTTTTATAGTTTATATTCAATACTTATCATTACTATGTGTACAATCCGGGATATAAAATTATAAAAAAGAAAACATGTAATAGTTATCGACGATCAATATTAGGAAAGAATCTTAATCGTCTAAATTGTTCAGTGGCATACATTGAGGGTTACTGTTTCGTCCAATATTCTCCAGCACACTATTTGGCGCGCACAGCCATGGATCCTTTGTTGTTTCTAACCAATCGGACAATCGTTTTTCAAGCTCGACAAATATGCTCTAAAATTCAGAATATATATAAAAAATTGAAAAGCATTTATTATATCTATTATCAAAGAGAAAGTGTGATTAGTGTAATTGCAAGTTTATATCTATTACCTTTGCGGACGGTTTTGAAACTATGTTATTTAATTCTTCTGGATCATATTTTAAGTCATATAATTCCCATTCTGGTCTCTGATAATACTTCTTTAATGTCTTATACCATGGTAGAAATTGATGATTCCTTGTTCTATTTAGAAGGTCCTGCATATAATACAATGATGAATTATTTATGAATGTCTATACTAACAAATCTATTTTAAAATAATTTCAACTCCAGTAAAAAAAAACTAATACTGTTTTCTGGATATTCTTTTTTTCCCCCCAGATTACCTGAAAAGTCGGAGATACGTAAAAGTCCTGATCGATAGGAAATGGCATTCTGTAGTTAATATTATGTATAAGTTTGTGGCGTTTAGTTCTAATCGCACGCATAGGATAATACATGGTAACTTCATGATGTGTTTGGCTAGCAAAGATTGCCGTATTATTTTCTGTGGGTTCTATACATGGAATATTATTGATTATTTTACAGTATGATCTTTCTAATAGAAGACAGTGTATTGCATTTATATATGTATATACCTTCAAGAAGCAATGGTAAAAGTGATTTGCCAGTAAGTTGCGGAAAAGACACTTCATTGGAATCTTCATCCATGTAAGTTGCATTGAACCAATCTAATATTGTCGGTACTATGTCAAGTAAAGACGTCAAACTATATGTCACGTTGTTTTTCCTATGGCCATGGATTGGTGATGACATCATCATGGGTTCAGCTAGACCTTCAGAATTTTTTTTTTTAGTATCTACATGCTTGTATTTTTACAACGCTAATATTTTCAAATACTTGTTAGTTTTCATTTTCTCAGTACTTTAAATGTAACTAAATTTACAAACCTGGATCATATAGATTTGTACGACCATTTGGGAAAGGTATACCATTATCAGACGTATAAATCACCAATGTGTTGTTCTTGAATCCTGCATTTTCCAATTCTTCAAGAATAAGGCCAACGCCTAAAAAATTATATTCTTTTTAAATATATATGTGTTATATATATATGTGTTATATATATATATATATATATATATATATATATATATAATATAAAACTTTTGCTCATAACATATTAGAAACATATATACTTGAGCATTTCTCAAATAACATTTTAGAGATACCTTTATCTAAACGTGATATTGTTGTATATTGGGCAGCAATATCTCTCCGAGCAGCTTCAGTATTCTGAACATAGTAGGGCACTTTAACTTGGTCCCATTGATAATATACTGGATTCCAATCGGGAATTGTACCCATTCCAACATCACCATTACCGAATTTTTCGCAAAAATTACCATACTCTGGATGAGTATGCCCACACCGATGTGGATCGTGAAAGGCAACATATAGAAAAAAGGGTCTGCAAAATTTTAATATACTTGAGAAAATGTTTTACAGAATAATATATAAGTAATAAGAAAACATAATTTTTTGAAGTGCACGAAACAAAATATGTCATCTATATTGTTTATTATACATATACACACGTGACAAAAAATCGCGCTATATGTAAAATATTACTTACTGTGTTTTATTTTGTGACAGAAATTCGCGGACCAGTAGCTTTATATAAGTAATATTGCGACCTACTTGAAGAATAGAATTATTTTCTTCTGTATGCGCAAAATCAAATGGATAAACGATACTGGGGCCTACATGTTTTTTGCCAATAATTCCTGCACAAAGAAAATATTTAAACATTACGCGATAAGATAATTTATAATGCAATATTATAAATCTGTTATTTATTACCCGTTCGTATATTGTTTCTTTTTAATATTTTTGGCAAGCTTTGAATATTATCAAAAGAATTGAAATGATGAACTCCATGATGAAGACCGTACATCCCATTTTGATGACTTGGTAATCCAGTTAATATTGCAGAACGGCTATAAATACAAAATTTAAGATTTATATATCTTTATTAATTAGATTAAATTTGAATATAACAAAACTACCTTGGTGAACAACTACTGACTGATGTATATGCATTATTGAATAGCAGACTTTCCTTTGCTAATTTATCCAAATTAGGGGTTTGACATATTTTATTCAAGTATGATCGCATTTCAAATCCTGCATCATCAGCTGTGGATTGATAAATAAATATTTCAAACAGTGACGAGTTTGACGCGAATTATATAGATTGTGAATCTAAAATTGATCTAACTGGCCTAACTGCAAAGTTATCAAAATGTATCTAATTTTTGCCAACTAAAGGAGTTTGTAACTCTTGTTTATTATATCATCTCTTACATTTGCAATTCTAATTCCTAAAGTACGTACTTTCTTATTTTTGGAAAAAAAAAATTATATAAAGCTACAATTTATTTATTCCAATTATTCGACAAGATATTCGCAAATCACATTTATGTGTGTAAAAAAGTACGTTATGTAAATTACCCAGCAACAAAAGCACATTTTGTTGAGCTGCTGTATTGGTTTTTCCATTTGATCCAGATAATTGCAATAAGACAATGCACAAAAGGCATAATTTATTCGAACAACTGTTCCACGGCATATCGCAATTGGGTAACACACATGTATGCGTGAGCGATACACGTCATACACGTGTGTGCGCAACGTGCATGAGAAAAGCACATGATGCACACGCAAGTACTGCCAATACGACCAATCGAAAATTTTCTGTTCTTCCGCGAAATAGCAGAGTAGCAGACACGTGATATAAGGGCTTGATTTATCTATCACGTTGTGTCTTGGCGGGCGCGGGGCGGCCCATGTGTCCGCATCGTGTGCAGACACGTGCACCGGTGCACGAGTCCATCAAACGCGAAGATTACAATCGCGCCCCGTTTCAACTGTCAACGAAAAACGTTGCAAAAAGGTCTCTGCAGCTCTGCACCGTATCTGGTACATTTTTTATCGCTCGATTGGTACATGACGTTTCAGCATCCAACATCTGGCCACATCTCACCACATCTGGCGATACTGACCACGTCACCACGTGACCACTCTGTCATAGCCACACTCACTCACACAAGGCACGAGGCACGACTCGACACTCGACACGTCAAACCGGCCACGTATATACGTACATATACGCCTCTTTTTTGTATATATCATATTTTTTGTTGTATTTCATTTTGAATGTAACCTTTTATCGCCGCTAATCTCGCGAGTCGCGCGAAATGCCCTTGATCGCATCATGTATGTCAAAATTTTCAGCGTTACCTCCGGGAATTCCGAGTTGCTCCGAATGCGTTGGGATAGGTTACAATTACATGGCATTTCTCGGCACGTGATTTAAAATCTCACTCTTCGATAAACTCCTTCATCTCGAAGCTGATTGTAATAAAAAAAGCTGATGGCTTATAATCATTTAATATAATTTTAAAGGCATTCTCGTTTCTATTTTATTTTGTGCGCAATGTAATTATGTATTTTAGTCATTTGTGAATATTTCTGTATGTATTAAATGACAGTATGTGTTTCAGAGAGCTCGAGTGGTTAAACGATATAAGATTACGTCATGTCGAACAAGATTATTTGCCTGTTTGACGTGGATGGCACACTCACCGAACCACAGCAGGTATTACGTTTTGCATACCAAAATATTCTATCTCTGAACAGTGCTATATTTCTTCTTGGACATTACAATACTATGTTATTGTTACGTTATCCTGTATCCTTATCTATTGTTTTAAAAATATATATTGTCTTTTATAGCCGATCAGTTCTGAGGTTGAAAAGTTTCTCCTAGAAACTGTAAAGAAAGAGTTTGACATTGCTGTTGTCGGAGGCTCTGATTTAAACAAAATTCGAGACCAGCTAGGTGGTAGAAATCTCTTTGAAAAGTATAAGTATGTCTTTGCGGAAAATGGCCTTATCGCTTTCAAAAATGGCAAAGCTTTACCGTCCCAAGTAAGTAGAAGTAGTAGTCGTGTCTAAGGACAATGACAGATAATGCGTTTTCTTTATTAAGATGTATCTTATTAATATATAAATTATAGTCGATCCAGGATATGCTTGGAGAGGATGCTCTGCAGGATTTTATAAATTTCGTCTTGCGATACATATCTGAGCTCAAGCTGCCATTTAAGCGTGGAACATTTATAGAATTCCGTACGGGCATGATGAACGTTACACCAGTAGGACGGAATTGCAGCAAGAAAGAACGCAAACAATTTCATGAATACGACAATGAACATCATATTCGTGAAAAATTCATACAGGTCCTTAAAAAGGAGTTTCCTGATTTGGGTCTGACTTACAGTATCGGTAAGTAACATGTTATATAGAAATAATTCTGTTTAGTTAATTTACGTGATTATAGCATAGTTAAAAATTTTAATATAATAAATTAATAATATTTATTAAATTATTTCAAAATATTATTAATTGTCTATATTTTACTATTGCAAATATCTTATGTACTACTGAGTACTGAGATGTATAAATTAATGTATTACATGTAAATTTTACAAGCAAATTTATTTATTTTTTCTAAGGGGGACAAATCTCTTTCGATGTTTTTCCCATCGGTTGGGATAAAACATATTGCTTGCGTCATATCCAGGGATATGACGAAATACACTTCTTCGGTGACAAAACTGCCGAAGGCGGTAACGATCACGAGATTTACGAGAGCGATCTGACGGTAGGACACCGCGTCACTTGTCCCAAGGATACCGTGAACCAAGTGGACGTCCTTATGACACTGGTAAAAGAAAATAGGGAGAAGGAGCAGCTTAATGTTCCAATGCAATGTGTCTGAGGCCTAAAAATTATTTTTCTAGGTCGAGATAAATGTGCATTTTTAATTAGTATTGTGTACATTGTAATAGATTCACTTAACTTCTTATTTCTACCACGTATATTACATTCCTGACGATGAAAGTATAGTATTTAACTTGTATAGTTTCAAGTAGTATTTCTGAGCACTCTAAAATTCTAGGCACATCTGTTTTCACGCACATTAGAAATATATTTGTACATATGCTCTTTTGTGGTCGTTTTATTATCTCATTTGATATACAGAAGTCATAAACGTTGAATAAAAAGGTTATTGGTATTAAGAATATAGTAATTTATTTTTTGTCTGGAACAAATTCCACTCTCATAAGTCTTACATGTGCATACACGCCCACGCATATATCATTACATTTGCGCATACATATGTACATATATATATATATATATATATATATATATATATATATATAGATTAAAACTACGTTAAACAATAACAATGTTAACAAAAGACAAACGTTATATAATATTTATTGGAAGACGACACAGTATGACGTAGAATGTTTTTTCTCTGCTACTGACAAGATATAAAAGGCACCTTATTAGCATATGTAAATAGTAAATATGCAAAGTTAACGCTGTAACAGCTGTCGTTGTAGCTTGCATGAAACTTTTAACATTAATTTCTTACCATTCTAGGTAAACTTTCGTTTTAAAACGTAAATGCATTTCTAATAAAATATTAGGAATATATATTAAAATTAAAATGTATGATCACTTAGCAAACGTTAACACGTATATATATTTTGTATAAAATGTGATATAAAATGTATTCCGTTCGTGATATGTAAATTAAGCGTTTGTTATGGCACCGTAAGTTTTCACGCTCCTTGGTAGACAGGTACGCGCTTCGCCGCGAAAGCCGCGAGTCCTTCGATTCGGTCCTTCGTATCCACGAGCTTACTGTAGCACTGCCTCTCGATTTCCATACCGTCTTCTAGAGATACCTCCGTGCCTTTAGATATAGCTACTTTCGCCAATCTAAACGATAGAAAATTAAAAGATATATCTATAAATAAATATTGTGCTTCGTCAGGAAATGAAAGTTCAGAGTAAAATACAAGCGTCAGAGAAACGCGTATTACTCGTGCTCGATAAGACCAAGTAGATAAACGTGTGTGGTGTGATGTGTATTATATAATACGTGAGTGATCGTATCAACGATTCTGAGTAAGCATTGTCACGTTTAAATAAGCATTGTCACGTTTGTTACGGATGATAATAATAATGATAATCTTTCGCACGTTGGCATATTATAAAAAGTTCTATCCTTCGTTTTCCAATTATATATATATATATATATATATATTTTTTTTTTACTATCTCTATCTACTTTATATATATTGTTCTTCTTTTATATTTATATTTATATAAACTAATATTTTTATTTCTTATCCTTATCTTTATTTTACTTTGTTTATTCTTCTTATATATCTTTTTATAGTTTATATTATACATTTATTGAAATAAGTTTTTACATCAATCAATAACTCACCTAACACCAATGGGACCGTTGGGTAAAATTTCTCTTGCGATCGAAAGAGCTATTTGGTAAGCTGCATCGCCGACCTTGTTTTGCGGAACCACCTCGTTCACGAGACCAATTTCCATCGCCTGGTCACCGTCCAGAATCCGCGCGGTGTAAATTAGTTCTTTAGCCTTGGCTGTTCCGATTATCCTCGGGAGTCTCTGCGTTCCGCCGGCGCCTGGTAGTATGGCTAGTTTCGTTTCTACGAGGCCCATCTTGGCCTCGGAAGAGGCGACTCTGATATCGCTGGCTAACGCGAGTTCCAATCCTCCGCCCAATGCCGCACCATCGATGGCCGATATTACCGGCGTCGGCAGGGTTTCCACGTTGGTCATGAGACCTCTCAGAGAGGACACGAATCGTAGCACCTCGGAATTATCCATTTTGAATCTCTCTCGCAGGTCTGCCCCGGCGCAAAACACTTTTGGGACCAGACTGCGTATTATCAGCACTCTCAGCTTGTTGTTTTGCCTGATGGTGGCCAATGCTTCGTCCAACTGAGAGACCAAGGTCTTCCCGAGGGAGTTACGAGCGGTAGGCCTGTTCAATCCTAATACAGCGATACCGTTGTCCTTTCCATCAAGGTAATTAATGATCACTTCTTTCGCCTCGTCCTTAGGACTTGGCATTGCGCTTGTAGTCAATGTCCTTACGGCACAAGCGCACAGGTAGCGAAGAGAGCTGGAAACTCGGACGCTTGCCACTAATGAAACCATTTTGTCGGATTTATTAGTTTATTTGCAATCTATTCTCTATATTCTCTTTAGAATGGGAATCTGGAAAAGGGAAAAGACATTTTTTTTATCCTCTACAAAATATTTGTATCCTATCGTATTATCTCCTTTTAATCTTTTATCGTTTTCTATCGTCTATTAAACTGTATGCGATGTCTTATAGTATATTTAACATATCACTTAAGTGAATATAATATAATCTTGCAAGAAAACTTACCCGAATCCAACCGACCGGTTTCTCGACTCTTGCCTCTCGCCTCTCGCACGGCGCCGCAGCAGTCAGCACATAGACGCGAAAAAATTTACGACGTCGTTATCCTTGATCCTATTTCGGGATTACGATGCGGCAGCAACAGGAGACTTCGCGTCGCGTCGGGACTCGGGGCGTGCGAGCTGGTGCGAGCTGCGAACGCTCGCGCGGGACCGCACGCACACGCGTGTATGAACGTGCAAGATTTGTTGCTTGCGAGTCGCGGGTTTTGATTTCCGCGGACGGATCGTGCCGATCGTGCGAGAATGCCTCGCTGTACGCCGCGACTCCTTGGACTTTGCGGACCCCGGACCCCGGACCCCGGTCCCCGGTCTCCGGTCAGAGCGGCATTGCAACAGCGGCGGTGACAGCGGTGGTGAGCGATGGGCGATGGTAGGGATGGATCGAGGAAAGTTGGAGTTGGAGGTTGGATAAAGACGTAACGCGGGACGCGGGGACGACGGACGAGCCGTTCGCCGTTCGCCGTTCGCCGTTCAGCCGCCGCGAATCTCTCCACGTCCAAACACAACCGCGTCTCCGCGTCCAAGTCGCGGCCACGACTGTTTGCTTTTTTCACCGTTGCGTGTTGCGTTGCGAATGAAAGCAACAATCAACATTCGCACGTGTCGGTGTCACTGGTGTCAGATCCATCGCGCGCGTGCGCGTCGAGCGCGCGTTGACACGCGTTTCCATTGACGAAATGCTTATAATTCGAGTGAAAGAGGGTGCCACTTGATTATCTGATTCTCTCTCCGGCGGGTCTTTCTTTCCGCCTTTTTTCTCCTCCGCAGAGATTCTTCGACCGCCCTCGACCCTCATTGATCCTGATCCGCAGTAATTCCGCTTATTCCGCACGATGCACAATCATTTCGGCTTGACGTTCCATGAACTCGAGCTCGACGTACTGTATACATTTACACGTACATATCATACGCGCCCAACATACACACATTTTCATGTGAGTATTAAAGCAATAAACATTTGAGCCACAATGCAATGGAAGCAAGATATACATCTACAATTACAATAATCTAATTTAAGAATAAGAATAAGATCCATATATATAAGTTTGATAGATCAAAATAGCGAAAACTAAAGTTCATTTTTTTACTTATTCTTTAATTAAAATAAAAGGAGTCTGTTTTTTTTTTTCTTAAATCATACAAAGGCTCTTGGGAAATCGGTAAAGAGAAAGAGTGTTGCAATGGGCGACAGTTTTATGGTATTTTTGTACGCGCTTAATGGTGTTTACTCAAGTCGCGCGGTAATTTTTCGCTGACGCTGATACGTTCGAAGAATATAATTGACGGAAATATTCTCGGCGACAAACTAATTATGTAATGGTAATGATACTGAACGAGGCGACGTTTGCCCATAGCGAAACCGTAAATAAATTACACGTGCTATCAGCTGAGAATCGAACCATGGAGCGTATCGCCGTAATACGTTCCGAGGAAAACATTTGTATGCAAATGTGTGTTTATTTCTGGCAGTGACGACGCTGCCGCGTTAACTCCTCACTACAAGAAAGAATATTATCGGTGTAGAAATTCCTTCTACTTTTACATGGTAGTCGCGTGTGTATAATATTATTAAAAAAGACATAGACTTTGAGATTACTGATTAACATTCAAATAAATCCGTAGATGTAGCAAAAAATATCGTACCATCGCGATGTCAACAGGAAATGATACGCGCATTTTTCGTATTGCAATATTTGCAAGAATGTAACAGTGCAACCTCATTTATAATGAGGACGCGGTGAAAAAATGCGGTTCCCTTATGATGAAAGTTGAGAAATCCTTCGTCGATGTTATGTATATCGTTACGTTGTTGATTTAATGTATTGACACATCGATAAACGCGCGCTTAGTGTAAAGATTATTTAACTTTTAACCGCCAGTTGTACACAAAGCGCATATCTTATCTGAAACGTATGAATAGGTATACAGTACGTGTTTTTTATTTTATGTAGGTCTATGCACGTGCACGTGCAATTTTACTAACTGAAGCTATCTTTGTATTTTTAAATCCGCATTATTTTAATTTTTTCGCGTAGCGAAAATTAATATTGATATATGTACGTATGACGTATATGTTAATAGATATTAATATTAATTACGCAAATTTACTCGAAAAATTAATATTAATATATACAATTAACATAAAATGATATTATAAAGTGCAACGGAATGACGAAATCCTATTTTATTTGCAAAGCAGGAAACGTAAAGATCAAGGAATGTAAGGCTAAATACATTATAATCTTGTCATGTATATATTTTATATATTCTAGTATTCTGGCAATAGATTTCTTTACATTTATCTAAACGGAAGATCAACTTAACTCACATAATGGCTTGCATCTACATACTTGTGTTTCGATAATTAACCGCATTTCCTAGAATACATATATCAGACTTTCTGAAGACGACGTACAAACTATATGACAAATAAATAAATAAATAATTAATAAATTAAGTACAGCCGAAATATTGGTCCAACGTTAAACCCGTATTATACAGGATGTCCCTCTTTCTTGGAGTCGATTTTTTCTTAGTGAAAATATTCGAGAGAAATTATCATTGATTGTAATTTTTTATCTTTAGCATAAAACGAAGACCACGTAGAATTAATTAGAATATATATTGATCGCGCCGAATATAATTATGTAATTTTTATCATATATTTTTTGCTGCAAGTTCGCCAGAAACTTGTTATTTTTACGTGTTACGTGAGAAACTATTGGTGCCTTGACATTTCTCTCGAGGAAATATCGACTCCAACGTGATCAAGCGATTTATCATCTAAAAGAAAATAACGCAGTTGCAAGTGGGACACCGTGTATACGTTTTCGATGTTACTTTCTCTCGCGAGTGCTTTGCTTATCTCGCAAGTGAAAAAAAATTGATTTATTAATATAAATCCACGTACGATTAATTCAGTCCACCGAAGTCGTCGCGCAGCTTTGGCGACTCGATTACTGATGTATACCCCGTAAAACGATATGCATCGCGTTGCATTCGATCGTCAATGAGGATTCCTTATCGATTACTGGTGGTTTCAATTGGACCAAGAAGCGGCAGGATATGTAGTTTAAGCTGCGGGTGAAACAGGCGGCGGTCGAAGCATTGACCTGGTGGCCGAGGAAAGTTTCTGCGACACCAAATGCGCGATATGCGACGATCTCTTCCACACGAACTCCCGCGTTCTGTCATGGTCGTCCTGGCTTTCCACTCGAACCTGATTTTAAAGAAAAAAGAGATAGAGAGAGAAACATTCGGTTTAATACGTGAGTACAAACAAGTATTAAGCAAACAGAATAATCGCTGTTTGCTGTCGCATTTAACCGTTTCGTGATGTCACATCGGCCTTCAAGTCTCAGGCTGAATTTCGCGTCGAGTTAAAACAAACCATCGGCGTCGCTTTTGAATCAAATTAATCCAAACATTCTTACTTTGTTTAATATTTAACACACTGACAATGAGTGCACTGATTGGTGTAATATCGATATACATAATATTAAATTAATATAATTTAGGTCTGTATTTGAATTTGCATTAATAATACAACACGAGGGATTTATTATTTATTAATCACAAGTTAGAATATATCAATTCTAGTAGTATTAGTAAAAGATTATGAAAGATTAGCCAGCAAGATTAAGAAATATTGAAGAAGGTTTTTAAGAATTTAGCGCGTACGGTCAAAATCATCTGCTACATACAAACGTGTCGTGTCTATCTGCTTATTGACTTGACATTCCTGTTCCGTGGTATTTACATATTGCTATAACTGTTTTTCCCCTCTATCGACGTACCTGTTTAGGTTGCAAAACCCGAATAGAATGCAGCGTCGCCGCACCGCCGTGCAACACACGCAGGCTCAACTTGCCAGACATCTCGGCCGTGGTAGCGGTCGCGCTCCTCAATTCCTTCTTCGCAGCCCTGCCAAACTCCTTCTCGACCTTCAGCACCAGTGGTCCCAGGCTGAACTTGGTCTTGATTGTCGTGTGATCGCTCATCATGTTCACCGATACGTCTCCCGTCCTCTGCAAGGACGCCAATCCGTACAGGGTGGCTCTCGCTTTCGGTCTACTCTTAGACTTGGTCTAAAAATCACGAGAAAACCCACTGAATACTCATTCTCGTCCACGTCAAGCACGCGTGCCATTTTCAAATATCTACCTACAGATTCAGATATAAATTTAAATGATAGAAAAGACGTGTAACATTCGCCAATATTTATCATATATTCAATTTTTAATTACTTTGTTCTTGTTGCTGCTGCTGCTTTGATTCTTCGTCCTGTTCTTCGTTCGTTTGCGGTTCTTATTAGAGTTCTTGTTCTTGTTGGACGTACGTCTGTTGCTAGATCTCACGCTGGTTTCTGTGCGAGATTCCAGTGAAATTGGTTCCTTTTCCGTTAAATTCGTTTGCGTTACAGCAGATTCACTGGTCTGCGTGACTTTCTGTAAACATGAATCGTACATATACGCTGAACGCTGAACGCTGAACATATATAATATTTGCCGAAGATGCATAAGCTCTCGAAATTTACAAATTTAACAAGTTTACTGATTAATTCTTCAATGAATTTAGAGTCAATCTTTATTTTATAAAAAAATTCCGAAGTTGTACCATTGGCTTCAAACTTTTTATGTCTTTGAACAACGAAGCTTCATCATTTAATTAGACTCCAAAAATTTAATTGGTGGTTTTTCATTTTTAGAAATCTACTAATGTCTCGATATTGTCATTAAAATTCGATATCATAAAGTCAATATTCTGCGACATATAAATTATTTCAGTCACCAGAAATCATACCTCGATGTCATTTTCATTGTCATTCTTTTCAGTAACAACGGAAGCGTCGATCGGCCTTGAGGCGCTCTTTCTGGTGCCATTTTTAGTACCCTTCCTCTTGGTCTTATTCTTGTTCTTGCTCGTTTTGGAGCTTGCATTTGGACTCGTCAGTTTCACGGTCACCGGCTCATAATTGGCGCGCAGAATGTTGTTAATTTTGCCGAGAATATTGTCGACGAAACGATTGTATTTTGCCACGTAAATTGCTGGCACGTGACCACTCGATTCGGAATCCATGCCACCTAAACCATTGATAGAAATTGTATCAGTTTTACAGTTTCTACTTTCCCGGATATTCCTCGCGCGAAAGTCCATGCGGAAACGTTTTCTTCAACATTTTCTTCAACAGTATTCGCATTCTGAAATTGTTCTAGTTGCGACACTCTATCATGAAGTATATTAATTTTTTTTATCACGAATAAAATTATGATTCAAAATGATTAATTATTTTAGACTTTGCGAGTCTTTGATTAATTTCTATTGGTGGCGGTGATCAGATGAGTACATCTGATTACGTTGACCTGTAAAATTGGGCCTGTGTAAATTCTATATATTGTATAATTACAAATGCTACTATTCCATGTAATTATGTTACAAACTAATTCTGTAACTTTATAAATTTTGTGCTGCCATCACCGCTACCAACCCAAGCATTGCTTGGCAACCTCTACTCTTTTCCGAAAGCCATCAGTTTATGACTGGTGAATCTGCAAAGTTACCAAAATTACTCGTTATCGACCCAGAGTCCCAGAGATCGCGAGAGTCCATGTTCTATGAAAAATGTTCGATTCGAGGTAAACAGAGGGGGAGAGAGAGCGACTTTGGGAATGCGCCCCGATTGCGTCCTTGAAACCACTTTTCGTGAGGTCATTTCGTCTCGTCCGGGTCATTGACCAGGGTGGGACCGTGCCCGGCGTTGCCTTCCGCAGCTCGACGCACCGTCTCTGGGTTTTAATGAAGGGAAACGCGTTCCCCTCCCCGCCGCGCCGGTTACCTTGAAAGGAAGCCGGCACGGCGCGGCTGTTGCCGATCGAGGAGGAGCCTACTTAAAGCGACGACAATGTTAACGGTATATCGGAATCCTTCGGCGCGGCTAAACTGGTCCCCGATCTAGGCCGTGACCTCCTTCCTCGCTACATAACTCACCTACAGACCCATCTAGCCGCGCGCGGGTCCATCCAACTGCTGCCTACCTAAAAACTCTCCCCCGGTCGTTGCACCTCTCGCAGCACGTAAGCACGACTTTCTTTCGGACGTCATGATGCCGTGCCACGCCGCGATGAAAATCTCATGCCACGGACAATATCAAGGTCGTCTACTTCTGGCACAGTCGAATGCCGAGGTCTCGGTTGAGGTCCGATCGGCGGGATCGCTTCTCAATAACGCGTGCACGATAATAGCCTCTTTATATTCTCGGAAATCTTTGGCGTACTTTAAATAAAGGAATCCTTTACGCGACACGACTCAACTAAAATAGTTTATATCGAGCGACACTTTAACGGTTTTAAAACGAAAATGACATGATACAATAAAACGTTATACAAATAAAAAATGTATGGCACACGATCGAAGGTTTATCTTTCTGGACTAAATGCTCGTTAAAACTTTAATTAAAGATTTGACAGAATCAAATAACGAACATTTTATATGAGACCCTGATGATTTTTATTCGAAATTATTCTTTAGAATTAACTTTTTTTCATTGAATACGAGAACACTACGTAGACTCTTGAAAAATATGATTACTTAACATCATCTTGTTATATATCTGGTGGATAGAAGTAAACGGTGTTTCTTAATTATGTTTCATAATTATGACTTTGATCTTTATCTGGTTCTTACTTTCAGATCTTCAATATCTTTACAACAATTATTTTCGAACGACATTATAATATTTCATCCATTTAAATCAAATATTCCAAGAAGAAATTACTCGATACGTCATTAATTTTGTGTAAGACATAAACCGGTTTTTTTCTTCAATCATCTCACCTTCGAGGAACGAAACAGGTCAGTCACACACACACGCACGCACATACACGGAAAGATTAAGAGCAATCGTATACTAAATCACGGTTTAGGCGTGCCACGTGACAGATATCGAAGGACATCGGCTTCATAACTTGCATGAGCTGTGGGTCAGGGTCGCAGTCGGAGGAGGCTCTTCCGGTACATCGCTTGCGCGTTCTCCAGGTCGGTGACCTCGTTTCTTTTTTGACCGGTTGCTCCCGGTGAAAGCCGAGAAAAAATTTCAACGCGGTCACACCTTTGTTGGATTTAACCCGACATTCATGTAGAAAGTTAATTGGATGTAGCGCGTGACGGTTAATTAAGAATCTCCGTTCATAAACTGATGGCGGCGATTCCTTCGATCGGCATCGAAGTCGAACCTTCGGCGGTTTTGTTCCTGCTACTTCCTTGTTTTAAGTTTTACCCGTGAATTGAAGACCGAATACACGGAAATAGATATGTGTGATATGTAAACGCACGCGTGGTGTCGGTTGTAACAAAAACCAGCGAAAGATGAAAAAAATCAAAGTAGAGCTACTAAAAGTATGGCTAATATGTATAGAACAAATCACATAAAAGCGAATTATTTGAGATAGATTCTACGAAAATATCAAACTACGAATGAAAAGAAAAGAAAATCTATATGATAGCGCTCTAATAAAAAAAGAGAGAGGTGTGCAGAACTGCAGAGTATGCTGCCGGACCACATATTTCTTTTTTGGTCATTAGCTACTTTTCTTATAAACTACTAATTAGTTACTAACTACTAATTTTACTGTCTACTTGGAGGTGCAAAGGTATGGGAGATTAAGAAACATGGATGTGGGACAAATGTAGGAATGTCGTGCTACTGTCCAGGTACACGTTGTTGCAGTCGATTGTCCAAAACCGTCCACCAAACACGCGATCACCTACTAGCAGGTAGAAAATACAGCTGAAGCGACAGCAAGCATGGGTGGCTACGATCTCGTGAGAACCGAGTGATAAAAAAAAGCAAGTAGGGTCGACGTGATACAAGATGTCAGGAACAGAGAAATGTGCCGCTATCTATTGAATGCATTCAAATAGCTAGGCGGGTTACTATGCACGTCACGTCACAAGGAAACGGAGAACACACCCTTTCCTCACCCGGAGATCGAGATCGATAATTTCATCGAGAAAATATAAATTCCAATGTCACCGACACGCGAAAGCAACTCCACGTTCATCAGCAACGGTCGTTCGGTTTTTCTCGCGTCTGCGTCTGCGGCATCGAAAGTCGATCCGAACCGAAATTATCCCAATCTCCAGCTCCGAGCGAAAGAGAACCGCGATTTGAGATTTCTCGAAGGAAGGAAAACAGAGAGAATTCATCCTCCTGGATCACGTGTAACGCGAGTGTATCTGGACACAAACACGTACGACTGATTCAATGCGACTGGACAATGGTGAATGAAATAAATAGGCGGTACACATTACTTTGTAAAAATAATAAATTATTTGTATTTTGCAATCCAGAACGGACAATGTCTCTGTACAAGTCTTGGTCTAGAGTAGAGAAACATCGTAAAAAAGACATATCTCTCGATTCGCGCGGAGCACGCGACACCGTCATCGACCGTGTTTAATCTGGCAGGTGATAGACAACTTAAAACAAAAAACGCGATATAAAATAGAAATCTATGCAACGTAAAAGAATTTTTAAGATTAGATATGTATTTACACTAAAAATCGTGATGGGAGGTTTGAATCATCTGCCAGATTAAGCATCTTATTGCTAATTCGACAGAACAGAAACAGGACGAGATTAATTTCTCGTTCTGTTTTCTAATGTAGGCGATTTCGATGTCTCTTGATCCTGTAGACGAGACTAAATGATATCTCTAGATCTCGGTCTCTCTTTCTCTCTCATGCACGCGCATTTCCCTTCCGTTCTCTTCCTTTCTATCTTTCTCTCTTTCTCTTTTTTTATTCCTCATTCAACTGACAGTAAGATGGATCACGAATGTTGGAAAAAGGAGGAAAATACGTGACGTGAGGTCACCAAGCCAAAGCATTTCAATGCTACTTCATGCAACACAAGGATCCAAAAAAATACTAAAAGTTTCGGAAAAATCTAAAAGCCTAAAAAATTAGCACGTGTCTTAAATAACAAATTAACCAAAAAATGTATAAAAGATCAGAGAGAAACCGAAGGACTACAAAGAGACCGGACGTGTCAGTCTATAGTGCGGTGCGACTTGCGATGTGACTTTAAATAGAGATATTGCCGTTAATAAATATAATAAATAACTAACGCTGAAGATAATTTAAAGTTAAATGATTGTTTAGTGCATGAAACTGAAGTAGCAGAAAATTTTATTCTGCTCGCGTGGAAATTTATTAGCGCGGACTTTCTGTCTCATTGAATAACTTGTCGAAAAGATTCCTCAATACAATCGCCCGATCGAGAAACTGTCACGTGGACATAAAAAAAATTCTCCTCCTCGTTCTTCTTCTTGTCATCACACTGAGAATATTATAAGTATTTATGTTAAAAGAAGGAATTATATATATATATATATATATAACGAAAAAAATTAAAGAAAAATTATATACATAAATTATACACATTATCTCTCGATACTAAAAAATTTATTAAATTTCTAAAAACGTAAATGATAATTTTTTCAATGTTTAATTTGAATCGACTTAGAAAATTAAAAATAATATCGACAAAATTGATATTTATACGTACATTACTCATTGCTATATGCAAAATATAAAGAGATAATAAAAACATAATTTAAGAAACGATATAAGAACGGCAAGATCGATCAGTACAGCAATAATACTCTCTTGCGCTTTTTTTAGATTATGAGATTTGTTTCATTCACAATTTTTTCTCACAAAGGCGCGGTTATTATATTCAAGAGGTATAAAACTACCCTTTAAAACATGCCCCCTTTAAGGAGATGTGAAAACGAAGCGAAATAAATAATTTTGCTCCACGAGCGAGCATCACGATCGGGCGTAGTCGCTCTAATAATCGATCTCGTGAGACCGACGTTAGAACGCTCGATGGAATCGATCGGCAGACAGCCATCGATGTGCGATGACTGCCACGAAACTTCCAAGAAATTTTCGTGCCAAGAGTCAAACAACTCGGCGGCAAAGAGAGCGCGCGAGGTCAAAGGATCACGTTGCATCCGATCATTTGTCATCCGGCTTTCTCGGCAACTCGGTCTAAACCCTCTTCGACACCGAAGCGGAAGAAGACGAAGAAGAAGAAGAAGAAGAAGAAGAGGAGGAGGGTGAAGAAGAGGAAGAGACCAGCCGTGCGATCGACTTGCGCGACTTGCGAGTGTGCTTGACGTTATGTTTCTTAGCCTTCTTGCCCTTGAACTCACGTGCGTGCCTAGCGTCGGCGATGTCGGCGATGTCTTCCACTGGGTCGTCATCGTCATCGTCGTCATCATCGTCGTCATCGTCATCGTCGTCGTCGTCATCGTCGTCGTCATCGTCATCGCCCGTGATGTCCAAGTCTACGTCGTCATCGTCATCATCGTCATCGTCGTCGTCCTCGTCGCTGGACGGAGCAGCCGCCGCGACGCCGCCGGGCGAAGCCGGTGCCCCGACGGCCTGGACTGATACCGGATTCGAGACGGACTCGGCACCTTCGAGCGTTGACTCGTGCACATTGGATGCAGCTTGACCCTCGGCGTCACCCGCCTCCTCATCCTCGTAGCTAGCGGCATCGTCCTCGGACGTTTCACTCGACGCGGCATCCTCCGCAGCTTCCTCGGCGGCCGCTTGATTCAGATCAGCCGCTACGGCGAGCGGCACCTGCGGCGAATTGACGGGGGTGGATGGAACCGTTGCGGCAGGTGCAGCGGGTGCCGGTACAGCGGCGGCTTCATCCTCGTCATCATCGTCGTCATCCTCTCCTACAAGTTTACAATGGCACATTGCAGATATGGTCGGTGGATAATATAATATATTTCATATATTTTAGCAGGGTATGTGTGTGTTATCATTATTGGATCGGGCGAAATGAATGATGAATTATGTAACTAAAGTGGAACTTGACTTGAAAATTAATTAGAGAATTGCACGTAGTGGACGTGATTAATATTTCTCGAATTATTAAAAAAATATGACGTAAATACAGAGAGAAACGTTACTGCCGCCACATCATTAAAAAAGAAATAAAAAACATTGCAAAACTGTACTTACAAAGTGTACATGTTACAAATTTATTATCTTTCACAAGTTCACGCATTCGTGATTTTAACGCAATCTGCATAAGAGACGGCTGGGGATCGAGAGAACTCGGATTATCTTTTGGTATTCAGGTCAATGCGAAGAAGTAGCGCGTAGAAATTTTTTTTCCGAACCGAGATCGCTGTCGATTTATGTTAATTTGGACGAGTCAAAGTACCCTGTACCGTTATAACGCGCGAGCATATGTGAGTGAGAAAGAGAGATTCTCACAGGCAATACGAAGCTTCGCGTTTACATAACGGTGTGTGTCAGTTTGCAAGAATTTCTATTGTCTAAGATTCGCCGGAAAAGAAACTGATGCGAAACCGACGCTACGTACGCGCGAATCGAAGAAAAAAGAAAAAGAATCGATTCGTTGTTGAGCTCTCAAGTAGAAACAAGTTATAGTTTACACGTGATTCATCATCCGATAGAAGAGAAACAAATTAAACTGTTTATAAATTGGCAAGTAGATGCATTTAGGAGAAATTTAGCAAATGTTTATTCATATTAAGTTTCTGTTATCTTCCCGTGTTTTATATATATATATGTAAAAGTCTTGACAGTTTATTAGGCAAAACTGCTATTTGAATATCAAGTTTATATGTAACGGTACACTTGTTAAGATACATATTAATTAAATGAGAAATACTGCCGAATTAAGATTATTTATATTTACGAATCTTTAATGTCCCACTTGAAATTTACTTCTGTATTCTCTTATCTTTTATTAAATTTTTAAGCCAAAATCTTCTTGAGCACATTCTGAACAATGCAGTCGATTTCTCACCTCCAAGTATGTCTTCAATGAAACGCTCCAAGTAATCACCGTCATCATCGTCGTCGTCGTCGTCATCGTCATCGTCATCGTCGTCATCGTCGTCGCCGGTGATATCTAAATCGATGTCGTCATCATCGTCGTCGTCGTCATCGTCAGCAGGGGCTGGTGCCGCGGGCGATTGCCTGCCGGTCGCAACAGCATTCTGAGTCGACACCTTGCTGTCAGCGATCTTGGGCACCGGCGAGGCGAGTGCCCCTATCGCCAGACAGCACAGCAACGTCAGCACTGCCGCTAGTCTCATGGCTCTGCAAAAGGACGTAGACGTACAAGGATGTAGACGTACTTGTCATTTTTAGAACAGGTGTTACGCATAAATATAACTAATCATCTTTTTCAACGTTCCAGAATTAAAAATAACGCGAAATAAGAATTGCGCGATGTACTCTCCACGCGAGTAAAGTTTAAAAACTTCATGCTCATTATTTATAATCGTATTCTCATTTACGTTTGCAAATCACTTATTCTCATTAGCTCTTAAACATCGATTAGCGATCTCTTCTTAGGAACGGTGACATTAGGTGGAATTGATTAGATCCTCTCTCTCTGATGAATCCTACTAATAATCCTTTTATTAAATAAATGCGAGAAGTGCAGTCGATTTGGGACATTTTACTGCCTAGGTATTACCCGGGGTCACCGATAAAATAACAGGAAGATAATGTTTCGCTCATGTATTACCCGTTACGAACGACACGTGCGACTTGTTAGAACGTTATTCTAGGCACGATGAGTGCGAGATACGGTAACCCGGACTATATACAAGTTAACCGTAAGGAGTTGCGCCTTTTTCCGCCTGCAGAAGAGACACTTTTCGTGCCGTGACCAGCGATCAATCGCGCGGTCGCGAGGTAGACAGTTCCCATAGCATCTCGTAGCATTCCCGAGCGTATGCTTTCAACTTTCGGAGCACGAGTACGCGAAACGTCGCGCGATGAGATTTACGAGCCGCATTGCAATAAACCGGATGTCTCGATTTGAAGGGAATAGGCGTTACGGATAGAATAACAACGGTAGTCGACGACGTCTTCGTGCATCTTCTAGTCATTTCACAGTCGAATCTATATAGAAAGCAAGGGAGAGATTGAAATAAGGATAAATGTATAAGTGAATACTACTGTGAGATGCTGGGTCGACAAAGGATACAAATTTACATACAATGCAAAAATAAATCGTTTTTCAATCTATATGACTAATCTATCTTACAACAATTTGATATTTGAAGAGGATGATTGATATCATCTTGTCGCGATTCTCTCGTGAGAGAATTTTGATTTCCAATTCTCTTTCCTTTCAAGATCCCAATATTCTTTCTACTGACGGAAACAGTTGCACGTATTCCTTTTTTTTGCGGAGATTGAAAGATGTTGATATCGATGAAAATACAAATAGAACTTTTTAAAACCTTTGTTACGTAAAAGGGTGACCGTATCAAAAGTTAAGTAAATTTTTCGCCTTTTTTAATATAACTATTGATAATAATAAATAGATGAATAAGAAATTCATAAAACAATTAATCACAAATACACGATTAATTTTGATTCAAAATTCTTGAAATTTTCTTCTATTAACTTTTCTCGAAAAGCACATATAAATAATTTTTCCATTGTTTTCGATTGTAAAAAGAGTAATCGAATAATTTATCTGTTACCTTTCGCTAAAAAAAAAGGTAAAAACGTGGAACTACTCAAGTTGCCTCACATTAGGTTTAGAGAATCCACGATCTGATAGCAATGGCGCGGCGCGACGGCGCTGGTACCCGGACCCGGAAGTAACCCTGCGACGGAATCAAGAAGAGACTGAACCAGACCAGGAACCAAGTTCACAACGAATCCTCCAGACGCGAGTACGCCACACGAAAAATACCGGTTACCTCACTGTATTAGCGTCGCACACAGTATCACTCAACCCTCAAAGAAATCTTCCCTTCGATTAATTCGATCGGACAGTGAAGGAACAGGATTGACACGAGAAAGGGGATGGACACCAACGCGGAGTCGGTCAAGGTCGTTGGTAGGTCCGGCTACCGGAAATCTCGTTCTCCGTTCCGATACGGTTCGACGAGGTGGCGGGCACTTTGTTCTCCACTTTGCTGGGTATCCTGGATATCCCTTGGGGACTCACCTCTCTCGGTCTTTCTTCCTCTCTCTTTCTCTCTACTCTCCTTTTCTACGTCTTCTCGAAGTAGACGATCGACGATCGACGATGACACGCGTATACGTCCCGGTTCTTCCACCGATCGATCCACCGAGCGGCCCGGTGAGAGTGTTAAAACAGACGAGGCGGTCGCGATGCGACCCTTTTATACCGACCCGCACCTCCACCTCCTTTCATACTCCTTCGTCGTCCTCCTTCTCATCGTCGTCGTGCTCTTCCTGCGTTTATTCACACCATACCTATCTACCTGCCTACCTATCTTCTCTTCTCCACGTGGCTCGATCGAGCGTTTTCTCCCTTTCTGAGACGTGCATCGTGCATGAGCGTATTATACACATGAGCATTTTACACCCGTCAAGATTACAGAGTCTCAGAGAGCTTCCGCATCCACTCACAGAGAAAGAGAGAGGGAGGGAGGAGAGGAGGAAAATATAGCAAGTACTTGTTTAAATTTTCTCTCTGATGTTAGTGTGTTTTTTTCACCAATTCCCACTTTCCGTAATATCCATTCTTATATCTGATATCTGATATCCTATTTTTTACATGATCATATTTATTTCTCCCATCCCATAAATCGCGTGCTTTATTTTATATATTTTTAAATATATTCTATATATATATTTACATTTTTAATTATTCTTGACTCAAAAATTCAGTTACATCTTCAGTATTACAGTAAAATCTTCAATTTGCGCGCATTAACTATATATTATTTCAACGACGAAAAAAAGAGACATGCGTAAAAAGAATGTAATATTTTACGATTCTTCGGATTTTTCAGAATTTTGCGATCTTTAGATTTATTTAAACTGCTAAATTTTCTTGATTTTCAAGATTACCTGACTGGACATTACTCAAAGGTGAAATTCTGCGATAACTACGTGCATGAAAATATATTGCGAGAAAGAGCATTAAATGCCCTCTCGTAAAACAGATCTGCAATAAATCAAGCGCGCATTAAAAGATCATTGTCACTCTCGCTCCTTCTGGCGAAACTTAACGTTTTAATACTTCGTTTGATGACGCTGCTTATTTGATGTGCTACTTTCGTGATAAATAATGCATTACCCGGATCGACATTGCCGGGATGATTCGATCTTGAGATGGCTAATTAGCAGCAGTTGCTTCGCGCATATGGATGATTGGTGCTGCTTAATGCGAACGATCGCAGATATAAAATGATTGCACTGATTAATTGAACAATCGTATTTTGTGTGTCGGACATATTTATTGAGAAGGACTTTCTTACTATATGTTCAATGTCGAGTTAACAATCTGGCAATATACAAGATGATTATTATGGTCACGACTAGTCACGAAAATAATAAGAGACGATTAACTTAAAAAATTAATTTTGCTAAAGGCGTTAAAATTTAGCTTCTTCAAAATAACAATGATATTTATAACAAATATTAGTTACATAATTATAATAATACTAGCTACGACAGTTACCTCTCTACGTTTTCTACGTTCCATACACGTTATTCATGTATAGTTTTTGTTGATGTTTCAGATAAAAATGACATTTTGCAATTATATAATAAGACAAACTTGACATAAACTGATGAATCCTTTCGGCGATATAGAAGAGAGCGAGAGTGTGGGATCGCTCTTCTCTTCCCTGATCCGTTTTGTAGTGTTGAAGCCTTAAATGAGCATATTTATATGACCTAAATAATTCCAATACCAATCGTAGAAAATAAAAAAGAAATATATATATATAAAATATGGAGAGAAATTATTTTCTATCTGAAATATAAATTACATTCAGCTAATTCCGTGAACATTATATTAGTAACATTTAATTATTACAACTAAAAGAAATTTTTTAATTGACGTACATTACACAAAATATAGTATAGAATGAAAAATTGATCTAAATCTTAAAAAGGTTGCGTGAATCAAGCCCGACCTAAAATGACTCGTTATTATCTACATTTTCCATTGTTCTGTATTTACTGCAAAAAACTTCTCTTTTAATACTTTCATCAATATTTTTTACAAAAAAATCTGGGGATTAAATCTTGAATATGGAAATAGCGCTCAATCGATCTCCAGTGTTGCGTTTTTTGTTAATCGAACAATCATCATCTTCAGTCATGTTATCAAGACTCGATCCTGACTAGTGTTAAGAACTAAAAACGAGAACTACAGAAATGAAACGTTCGCCTCGAGCTCGAGAACGAGGAGCGAAAGCAACGCGCTCGATCGTCATCGGGCCGGTCGATCGTCTAACTGTAAATACCGAGCAACTTCTTCCTGCGGATGGCATAGTAGTAGCTATAACTGATGGATCGATCATATATCGCCAGCATCCGCTCTGTCTAATGCCCGAAGCGACGACGCTGGATTTTTATGCGACATATTCCCGTTTGTGGAACGCCGGACGATTTCACGCTTCGAGACTACTCCCGATGATCTTTGTAGATCCGATACACGTAGATCGCGTTATTTCTTGTTCTCGGACTGTTTTATTGTGTTTTATATATATATATATATATATATATATATATAATATATATTTCGTCCACCGATTGGAAAAATTCCGATAATTCAGAGACGAACATTCGCCAGAAGAAATAGAAGCTGAGTTTTTATTAGAATATACAGGGAAATCTCCTTCATTCTCCTTCATTCGGTTCTTCGTTCGATAGCCTTAATACCAAACGATATCTCATTTCTATTATCGTTGTGATAATAAATGATGAGAATCTATAAAAGTCACAAGTCATATTAATAGAACGCGATTGCACTCGAGTCACATGGATCTACGAGATGAACAATAACGATGTCCCATTAACTCACAATCAGATTAATCGTGATAGTATCGCACATCGCGTGCAATTGTATCAAGATCAATTTCAGGATTCTGTCATTGTAAATAATACTGCACGTGTCTTAATTGTTCGTACGTCTCTAAATTATCCACTTCTATAACACTTGAGCGATTTCAAATAAATAATCGCGATACATGTATAGAGTATAGTATTTAATACATTTTCATTATTACGTTTATTAACTATTATATGAAAAAAAAAAAATATGATAAAAATATTCTCATCACGTACATTTTTATCGTTGCATTTAAATATCTCACACTTTGACATTTATACAATCGGAATTGAAAATAAATACAAGGCTGGATATTTTTTGTTATTTGACAATATAAGTTACGAGTAAAATTTTGACAATAAAACTCGAACTGAGAACAAATTCAATGGAAGATTTGTATTGTTCTGGACCGATAGCGGAAGGAAAGAATAAGATTCTCCGATTGATTAAAAATGTATATCGGCGATCATTCGAAATTGAAAAGGTTGTTGAAGGAAATCTGGTTTATTTATTATTTATATGTATAATGACAATAAAATTCTTCCGCGCATTGTCAAATTTTTGCCAAGGCGAAAGCGCATCTGCCACATCTGAATCATCTGGCACGGAATCCGCCGTCGAGAGATATTTCCCAGATAATAGTGGGCGCGTGAACAGCGGCGTTAAGATCCGGTGCGAATCGCTCGCTCGCGTGGATCATCGAGCTCTCGGGCTCGCCGACTCTCCATTCTGGCTGGAATATGGGATTTGGTGTCACAACGAGGCAGGGAAGTAGTCCGCGGCTACGTGAATTAGTAATCAGGATGTGTGTCTCGCGCGCGAGTGGCGAACGCATTTTCGTATACGCACGCCCGCGAGGAGGGGGCGGAGAACGGGGGAGTGTAACAAGTGAAAGAGTGTGAGGAGAGAGAGAGAAAGAGAAAATATTAAAAGAAGAACGGAGAGATGGTACGAATGTACGATGTACGATTCGTATGTATACGCATTCTTCACGCAGTGTCATCGTGCCGCGGGAACGCCATTCATTATTCATCGATTCGCGCGCAAGAATTGCAAACGGGGAGAATCGCGCGCTCGAATCGCTGTCCCCGAATTCCCCGATGGGAAAAATCGAATTGACACACCAATCGATTTTCACATCTAGCCCGGTTACGTAACGTACTTAATGTCGATTATTGTACAATGTATCACACGCTACGTGCCATATACATCAAGTTACGATATGATAGATATATCCTCAGAGATTTGAGAGATTTGACCTTCTTACAATGAAATAAATATGTTTCTTTTTCCGTTTTTTCCGCAAGCTGAGAGAAAAACTCTTCCTGAGCAAGTCTCTCCCAGACAGATGAGACGAGATGACGTATGCTCTTGTCTTTCTTTTGTTTATATGTTACTCTAATTAAGGCTTATCCCTGTATAATAAATAATAAATCCATGTATTTCCTTCGTATTTAAATAAGTACGTAACATTAGTTACATTTGTTCTTACAAATTTTATTGGAACAAGGTCTGCAAACCACAAGCTTCTTAAAATAGGTAATTCAAATACATTCATCCTAAAACCGTTAAATTTTACGGCTAAAGTTTGCCGGTGTAGCAGCTCGCTCATACTTTTGTTGTACATGAAAGGCTACGTAAGGCCTATATTGCTATTCACATTTTCTCACGAACGGATTTATAACGTTTGTTGGAATTTATTTTTTCATTATTTGTACGACATCCTCATCGTGCATCACATGCTGTAATCCTACTCGCTGAGGCGAATATTTGGTACTTGTACCCTAAAAAAAGGCATAACATAATTTACATGAGGCGTGTATTTAGAAACTAAATTAAATATCAATATAGTATATTGATATATGCAGATAATTATGGATATCTGAAAACTTACCCACACAAGGGCGTATTTGAATTGCTGGGCAAGAGTACGGTGAATTGCGTGACACACGTGCTCCACCGTCACTCCTTTCCTCAATATTAAACCGTCCTCAAAATCAGGCGGCTGTCCAGGCTTTTTTGTGTACACCCTTATCAAGCTCAAATATTCCCATAGTATTTCCAGCAGAAAGTCAAGATTCAACTTCATATTACAGCTGTGGGAACGTACGTAGTACAACGTATGAAAAACAAAAAGACATGCGAAAGACACGAAGATTCGTGCTTGTAACAATCTGAATATTTTTGAGCGTTCAATATCTCACCTAACTACGACACTATTAGGTTGCCTAGCGATTCGATCGACTTCCTCTATCGATATTTGATCTATCTTATTATATACATAAAGGCAGGGCAAGTATACTCGGTTTGCATTGATAACATCAATCAATTCGTCCGCGCTATAGTCCTCGCGAAACAGCACCTCGGCATTGAAGATTTTATACTCGTGCAGAATCATTTGAACTAGTTTTTCATCTACTTTCGTTAAAGGACACGTTGAGTTGAAGGCTAAGCCGCCGCCCTTTTTCACTTTAAAATATATATTCGGTTTTTTCTTGTTGAGTCTTATCCCGACCGATTCCAACTCTTTCTCTAAAAGTTGCCGTTGAACGTCCTGCTTGGTCGCGTCCAACATCATAAGTACCAAATCCGCCGTTCTAGCGACAGATATGACTTGCCTACCTCGTCCTTTTCCCTACAATAAAATCATTTCAGAATAATTTTAGAAAATCATTCGACGTAGCGACATGGAAGCAGAGTCCATCAGATATCTTGTGGAAGATATCCAGACACGTTCCAGCCTGCTTAGTATGTTTACCTGTGCCGCTCCTTCAATTATACCAGGCAAGTCCAACAATTGTATATTGGCACCCTTATACTCGATAACCCCGGGGATACATGTCAGGGTAGTAAATTCATAAGACGCAGCCTCCGACTCAGTGGCGGTCAAAGTGCTGAGCAGAGTCGATTTGCCAACTGACGGGAAGCCGATTAACGCGACTCTGGCGTCTCCCGACTTCAGCACGTCGAAACCTTCGCCTTTTTCAGACTTTTTTGTCGGTTCCAGAAGCTGGGACCTGTACTTGGCAAGCTTCGCTTTCAGCAAGCCCAGATGATACTCGGTGGCTGCAATCAAATTTCGCGAATACGTATTTAAATCTCTCGTTTTTTCGTGCCTTTTCACTTAGTCGACCGTCGCTCGCAACCGCAAAATTGAGAAACGGTGCGCGGACGGACAGGGACAGGTTAAAGAAGGTAACGTGACGCGTGACGACGCTCACCTTTGTTCTTTTGCGTGCGCGCGATCTCCTTCTCGATTTCCGAGATCTTCTCCAGTATCCCCATCGCGATCTGAGACTTGTGAGACTCGACACAATAACGTATTTATTACATTTACCGAAGAATCAACAGACAGCTTCGCCGCCTTCACTGGCCTTCACCTAACCAGTAACCTGGCGCGTGCAACGATGACAAATTCAGTGACCAGTGACAGCAGCGCCGTCAGCGCCGATCATCTGTGTCTAAAGTCCTAAAGATCCATCCACACGTATCGTATCAAATATACGCTCGGGCTCGGAGCTCGCGCTCGGAGTGATCGACCAATCGCTGGCTTGGAATTGTATGTATTGTACATATACATTGTACGAATACGCCGCTCATGTTCATGATAGACTTCCTTTAACCCGTAGCCGAGCGCCGAGACTGGCCGAGACTCCGGACTCGTGGCCGTGCCGAACTTGCACAGGAGAGAGGAGGTTATTTTTCTTTCTGGTCACCGAGGTCACTCTGTTTCCAGCGAGATGTACGACGACTACAACAACGAGGTATTCGTCCGTTTGCCCGTTTTTAATTTCGTAGCGTCTTGATTGTGCTCCCCATTGCGCTCGAGCCATTCTAATCTAATTTGTGTGCTTCCCAGCAATATGACGCCTACGACGATTACGGGCCGCCAGAAGTGCACGATCAGTACGAGCGGCCGAGTTACCGGCAGGTGCCCGAGGTTGTTCGCAACTTCCTGGTGTTCCTGCGCAACTGCATCAACGAGGGTATGATCTTCGAGATCCAGAATCTGTACGAAAACTCATTCCCCAAGATATCGGAGCAACTGTTTGACAAGTCGCCGTGGCCGGACGCCGCGACGATCGCCCACATCGTCGACAACGACGCGGTGTTCCTCACCCTCTACAAGGAACTCTACTATCGTCATATATACGCGCGCATGCAGGGTCCCACGTTGGAGCAGCGTCTCAACTCTTTCTACAATTACTGCGATCTCTTCAACTATATCTTGCATCCCGATACTCCGGTGCAGCTGGAACTGCCCGATCAGTGGCTGTGGGAGCTCATTGACGAATTCGTCTATCAATTTCAGTCGTTTGCCCAGTATCGTGCCAATTTGTCCAACAAGACACCAGATGAGATCGAGAATCTGACTGCGCACAACAAAATCTGGGACGTTCTATGCGTGCTGAACGTCCTGCATTATCTGGTCGACAAGTCGAAGATAAAGAGCCAATTGGAGGTATACGCGAGCGGCGGCGATCCGGATTCCGTAGCCGGGGCCTTCGGCAGGCATTCCTTGTATAAAATGCTCGGCTACTTTTCGCTCGTCGGTCTTCTGAGACTGCATTCTCTGCTGGGCGATTATTATCAGGCCATCAAGGTCTTGGAAAACGTGGAGCTCTACAAGAAGAGCGCGTATTCCCATGTACCCGGCTGCCAGATCTCGACGGCGTATTACGTGGGCTTCGCATACATGATGATGCGCCGTTATGCCGACGCGATCAGAACCTTCTCCGGTATCCTGCTGTACATCCAACGTACGAAGCAGCTGTTTGCCACACGTAGCTATCAGAACGATCAGATCAACAAGCAGACGGAGCAGATGTATCATCTGCTCGCCATCTGCCTGGTTCTACATCCGCAATGCATAGACGAGGGTCTGCAGCAGGCTCTGCGGGACAAGAACTACCACGAGAAAATGTACAAAATGCAATATGGCGATCTCACCGAATTCGAGAATTGCTTTATATTTGCGTGTCCCAAATTTCTATCGCTCACACCACCGAATCCAGATAATCCCAATGAAGATTATGTCCGCGAAGCCATTAAACATCAAACCCAAGTATTCATGGACGAAGTGGTGCAACAGAAGATGTTGCCGACTATTCGTTCATACTTGAAACTTTATACAACATTGCCGTTAAGTAAATTGGCCACATTTATGGGAAATACTAGATCCGATAACGAAGGCTGGGATCTCGACAAGGAAGTCAACGCATTGACGATCCACTTATTGTGCTTCAAACACAAGATGAAGAACATTGTTTGGACGAAAGGTACATCGGGACTAGATGGAAAATTTCAATCCGGTTCAGAGGTAACTGTCATTTTATTATTCCATTTGTATTTTAAAAATATAATTTATACAATTTACTTCAACATTTAGTTCTCTTGTATATTTTATGTTTCCTTCAATATATACGATTCATATTTTCTCTAATAACAATAAATGTCACAAGTTAAAATCATAATTCTTATACTTGTTTACTCAAGCAATTTAGTTTACTCTCTTCTAGTTTACTCTAGTTGTTTCTTTTAATTTTGTGAAATACTCTCAATAGATATAAAATATATTGAAACCACAGAAATCGTTCCTTTTTTTTTTCAGTTGGATTTTTATATCGATCACGACATGATTCACATCGCCGACACGAAGGTAGCGCACCGTTATGGAGACTTTTTCATTCGCAAGATATTGAAGTTTGAAGAGTTGAATCGTAAATTACATCATATAAAGATTTAACTCAAAGAATTGTATATTAGTGTACAATTATTATTAAACATCTTGACAGTACGTTCGCAAAACAAAGGAAATAAAATTTTTAGAAATAAATATTTATTTCTATTAAATATTCATCATAGATTCTTCTCAGCGATTGGAATAAAGTGTATATAAGTAACTCGTGTATGTGGTAACGCATTATACAAATATATAATAATAATGTGCAAAAATCTACATTCACATTGCATTCAGTGATGTATGATTTTGTACATTAGGTAAATAAAATTAAACAATTGTATTTAGTACTAAATGCGCGGTAAAAATACACAGGATAATGAACCTGTGAAAGATCAGCTATTGCGAACATACATTACGTTTCCCTTGTTAACATAAATTATTCTAAATGCAATTTTTTATATATCAAATTTTTTTACAAATACCAATATACTTGTATCTCACTGAAATATAATAAATTCAACTAGAAAAAAAGAAAGAAAAATTACTGCAGAGGAAATAGTAATAATATTTTAGATGTGACATTTTATACACAACAAACAACAATATGCGTTAAGTCATTATATATACATATCGTAGACATAAATAACATATCAAAAGACTGAAATATCGTATTTCACGACAATTTATCGCGATGTTAAAATTCGATAAAATCACCATCCTTGTAAGTAAAAATATATTTCCTTTAAGCATCAGTCGCTAGTGACATTGACTACGCACGTAGATGTAGTTTTATTCTCTCTCTCTTGTAACATTCTACACGCGGCGGCTAAGATATTCGGCTTCGTCGACGCGGTCGGCACTAGACTGTGCAGATAATGAAAAAATCGATTGCGTCGTTTGTAATTTGCGGTCGAGCGAGATTCTTCTGCGCGACATATCGTTCGAACGGTTGGAAGATAATCTAATGCCATGATTCGTTGATCTAAACACCCAGATGTAACGTACGATAGCGCTCGATCCACTCCTCGATTCAATTGCTTCCTTAGAACAATTTTGCTTTGATTCTGCACGTGCTCGTTTGTCTCAAAGTTTTTATACAGTATTTGACTGTTAATAAAATTCGCTATATCCGCGTTCAAATCACGCAAAGCAGAATAGAAAGACACGTTTTCAGCTAATGATAAATTAGGTTGCGCGTTCTCCTCTGACATATCCAACGTCGTGTCTTCGACATCGATTAAAGACGACACTAGAGATAAACTGTCCAAATCCTCCGCTAAATTGTTCAATATATTGGAATTTTTTGTATTTGTACTCTTCTTTGTCTTGTGCCTCTTATTTAGCTTAATCGCAGGCTTATACAAATAATGTTGCATATCTTGCCAAAGCGATGGCTTCGTGGTTGTAGATTGTTCCGATAATACTGGTGGACCTGATAATAATAGATATTGCAACTGGAGCAGTGCCTGCCTTAGATCGCCCGCTTGCACTAATTTCTAAACAATGGAATAAATAATAAATAAATAATTGATTTACTTAATTTAACGATAGACGAGTATGGGATGGTATGGTTGGATAACTCGCACAACTTCAATGAAAAATTTAGAATAAGTGACGAATTAACTGCCCATCTTTATTTCCAAACTCCTCTTTTCAGCATTAAAACAAAATTTCCCTTTTGAAAATATTGCTTTAAAAATGAAGAATCTTAAATATTATATATCTTTTTTTTTTTAATTTACGTTTTTAAAAATATTACTTTAAATAAAGAATCTTAAATATTATATATCTCGATGAACAACAAAATAATATTAATTCAAGTATAATTTAAAAATCACTTACCATTAGGCAATTATGCGGAATTCTGTAACCCGTTTCTGCCAGCGAAATTAATTCCAATAAGGCAGACACTCTGTTACCACTGACTTTATAAAAGTAAACTTTATTTTGTTGCGGTGCCATTTTGTTCAAATGAGGACATGTGTTTCTACATATCATAACAATTGGTCGTTTGGTGTTTGATGCTAATTGATATGCAGCAGAAACAAATCCTTCGTCCTCCTCAAAGATAATATCAATATCTTCCAGAAGAATTAGCGAATTTTGCGATATTTTCGAACTTTCGGTCTCACTCGTAACTCGTTCGAACGGAGATTTGTGTTTACTTTTTTTAATTCTGTGCGATTTCGTGGCTTCCTCCAATTCCTTCAAGATCCTCTTTCCAGTCCGTCTGGAAGATGCGTTTACCTCGAGCACGCTGCAAGAGCAAAAGTTACTTACTTGATTTACTTCGCATGAAATGATGCGATGTCTGAGAGAGAATTTATTATTTCAATATAATTTAAGAATCATTTTGTATGTTATATATATATTTTCGGTAAGTCGCGATTACCAACCTGTAACCAAGTTCCTCTGCTATCGCGTACACGCTTGCGCTTTTTCCGCTGCCGTGCGGTCCTAATAACACAGCAATCTGATTATTTTCATTGTTGCACAAGGAACTGCAGTCCGAGGAATAAAACTCATCGCCGCTGCTGCCGTCGTTCTCGTTCGTTAAGGATGTTCTCCAGCCGCTCAACCAATCTTTTAGCTTATTCGCGGCCTCTTCATTCCCAACTATCTCTTGCGCGCTCATCGGCTTATATTTATATGTCCACATGCAATCATGCAACTGACTTTTCTCGTTCTCCATTAACATTCTCTTTCGTTCAAGCGCTCTCTTTCTACCTCTCATCCGAGGTGGCGATTTCTTTTCCGAATCGCCTTTAATCATTGATATAGTCTTCCATATTTTTCGCACATCCGGATAAAGTTCTTCGATTTCTGATAACACTTGTTCAACGTTTTCCTTCACGGGCTCATTAATCGTTTTAATTGTTCTTGATGCTTCCCTACAATTAGTAATGTACTTATAATTACTAATGTCTATCAAAGGCAAATATTTTTTCTCGATTTTCATCGAAAATTTATGTTTGATTTCGCATCTGGTCGAATCCGGCTCGTTTTCTAATTGTGTAACATGACTGATAGAGGGAAATGGTAACACAGATATGCCATTGTTCGCTTTATGGTCCGTATTTTGGTTCTCTACGTCGACTATATCCGATTGCAGGAACAAACGTCTAGCTGCCGTGATAGCCGGATCTGTTTTACGTCGTTTAATAAATAAAGGCGCCAGCTTTTCATTCGGTTTTCTCTTTAGACTATTCTCATTGACAATCTCGCACGCATCGATTACTGTAATAATCGTTTCACTCGTATCATTAATCTTTTGCTCGTTTTTACTAGTTCCATTTGAATTTTTCAAATCAGTATCCTCATTAGAAGCGTTTATGGAAACGTCTTTGACAGTGTTTGGAATGTTGTCCTTTACACGCAATTCTTTTTTCTCCTTGTTTCGCATTCTCTTAAGATGTCGATCACAATCCTTCATATAGACTTCATTATTTTCTATATTTCCCGATTTATTCGAGGGATTAAACTTTGATTTGCTTCTCGGTGAAAACAATTCGTCATCGGTATCTGCAAGTAAAAATTATGTTGATTTTACAGTAGTATTAAAGCTAGATATTCGTTAGAGAGAGAGGAGTATCAAAGTCAGCGATCAAAGTGTGAAAGAAACTGTCATTGCCATCGACCAATTAACATTGGGAGACTCTGATTATGTTTTACATCACATACACAAGAAATACTATACATATGTATAATGGCAATTTATATAATTTTATTATATTACCAATTGGAGAACCGTTATCTTCAGAAGAATGTAATTTTATTCGTAAGGACCAACGAGGTTTTTCCCGTTTTTGCTTATCTTGTTTGGCGGTCTGCGGAGAAAACAAATTCTCAGACGCTATGATGTGAATATCATCCACTGTAGAAAGATCTAATTCTGACTTTGGACATTTCTTGTTGGAATGTCTTTTATTCGAAATCGGCTTTATTACAGGTTCAACGTCAGAATTATCAGTCCTATGTACATCCGCTTTTACGATAAAGGTAGACACACATTTTTCATCCTTATTTGTCAATCCCAAAGGTGATTTGCTGCATAATCAAATTTTATAACAATTATTTCATTTAAGAAATCATAAAGCTACGGAATTTTAAGGACCCACGATTCTTGTGGAAAAAAACGTTTTCGGTCAATTTTCATCAGGGACACAAGAACTACAATATATCACAAATTCAAGCAACGTGACTTAAAATGTTTATCTTATAAGAATCGTACAGAAGGTTCTTTGTGCAAACTTTTGTAATATTTTTACCAGGTCAATAGTAATTTAACAATATAATACACAAGATACGCATGCACAATATTATACTATATAATTATATAATGTACGCTATATTACCTAAAATAATTCAGCAAGTTTCCAGACTGTTTGGTACTTTTTGTCGATGCTTCAAAGCTGTTATCCTTTTTATGTATTATGTTGGTTTTATTCTCGCCTTTAAAGACCCTTATGCGGTTTTCAATATTCTTTTCTATTCTCTCACCCTCTTCTATTTCCGCCATTTTTCTTTTCGAATATCCTTTTTTATCAGCCAAAGCTATCAGCTTCTCTTTGTATTTAGATTTCAGTTCTTTTGCATTATCTGATTTGTCTTTATTCTCATAGTCTTCTGTGGATTGCTGTGGTAATTTACACTGTATCGGTTTACTACGACTCATCAGAACCTGAAAAGCGTTTGATTCTTCCCGTTGAGAATCACATTCACTGTGTTCTACATTTGACTCAGTCTCATCACTGAAATTAATAACGCTGTTGTTGGGGAAGCTGTCTGTATCCATAATTTGTTCCTCCAACCCTTCTTCTTTCGACACATTCTTCGTTTCCTCAGACCGATTTCCATTAATTTTCACAGCGGGCTTTGAACGCTTAAAAATAAGAAAATCCACGTAAAGATACTTATCGACAAACCAATATCACGTGTAACTCTTACAACTAGTAAAATTGATACCTTCTCGAGACGCCGCTTTACATCTGACTCGGTCCACTCTGATTTAGGTGTTTTGTTTCGCAGAGTTTTATGACCATTGTTTACATCGCCGTTGAACAGAATGGGCGTCTCGTCGATCAGGTCGCCCTTGCTCTCAATTATATCGCACATTCTGCTCGCAGAGCTATCGCGTGATATCCGGATCTCGACAGTAGTCTCTTCCTGCTCCCGCTCCTCTTGTTCCACGACGTTGCTAGAATTGGTAGTGGCCTCCTTATCGCTATGTTTGCCGTTGGCAAAGTATTGCTTAATGTCTTTCATGCTTCAACAGTATACTTCTTTTTCTGCTTCACTTGTAGAGAACTGCATTCTCGTTCCGTTAGAGACACGGTATCATCGCTTTTCCTTTTCTTCGAGTCCCCCCAAAAGTATCCTGGAAATAATGGGAATATTCTAACGATGAAAAGAGCTAACGGATGTTAGAAACGAAACGCTAATGTATGATGTATGTTGTACAATGTACATACATACGTACGTCAACATCGAAGGTATCAAGCGGGCACGGCAGTGCACGGTCGCAACGAGGTTGATGTCCTCTCGTTAATGACTCCGCAACTCCTCGTGAAACGTAGTCGCCCGCTGCGATTTCGAGTAGAAATATTTATGTCGCTCGTCTCTTCGGTCTCTCGGCGACACAGCGCAGCGTAACCTATAATGGTAATGGAACGTGGAACGTTTGCGCGACACTGCACGACACGCTGACGCTGACGGCTTCCCGCCTTTTTGATATCGCTTTTGAGAGCGCGCGAACGGCGCGAACTGGCAAGTGGCAGCACTGGCACCTGGCGCGACCGCGCGACGGCCGCGACACGAGCGTCACGTAACCGTAACAGCATGTATGTATGTACATACATACATATGCACTGGTATGCACGTGTACAGAGAGAAACCTGAGAGAGGCCATCCCGGCCTTTTTCGTGTGTTGCTGTGTTGCATTTTCCGACGCGCCGCCTGAGAAAATGCAACTCAACTACGTCGTATCGCTCGGTAACCGCACATGGTTTGCGTCCGTGCTAGGTTCGTGCCGAAGCCGAACTAGCCAGCTGGAGGGGATATTCTGGCCGCGGCGGCCGCGCTTCCATCTTGCGTATTCCAATTAATAACGAATTACGATAATTAAAATTACAAAATTAAGATTACATTCTTCAAAATTATTACGAACTTTGTATCTCATAATTTTGAAAAATATAATCGTAATTTTATAATTTTAATTTTCAGATAAATGTCAAATTTTGCAAGCAAGAAGCTATTATTTGAGCGTTGATTCAAACCTTCACATTTATGTGAAAATTATAATAATTAACGATAATTTTTAAAATGTGAAATTCTATAGATAAAGAATAAACACCGTTATTATCTATTAAGAAATCGTCTTATGTTGATTTCGTATAATATATCCGGCATTAGTATCATACAATTTCAAATTTATTACACGTTTCCTTATAATTCCTTATTACAATATAATTTTCTTATAAATAATGTTACATATGGACGGGTAAAAGCCATAGTGGTGTAAGTCAAATTTTTGAAAATATTGTCTTGTATGCATAGATGCAATTTATATATTGTATAAATTTTGATCGCATATAAAGCTAAGTAGCGAAGCACCTCGCGAGGTAGAGAAGTGTTTCGCGAGGCAAGGGAAGCATCTCACGAGGCAAAGGAGCGTCTCGCGAGATAAAAGGAGGGTTTCGCGAAACAAGGAAAGCATCTCGCGAGGCAAAGGAGCGTCTCGCGAGATAAGAGGAGGGATTCGCGAGGCAAAGGAGCGTCTCGCGAGATAAGAGGAGGGTTTCGCGAGGCAAGAAAAGCTTCCCTCGCGAGGCAAAGGAGCGTCTCGCGAGGTAGAGGAGTGTTTCGCGAGGCAAGAGAAGCATCTCGCGAGGCAAAGGAGCGTCTCACGAGGTAGAGGAGCGCCAAAAATCCATAATTTTGATCGGATATAAAGCTGAGTCTAATCAACCGAATTTAAAAAAATTATATATAAAATAGGAGTAGAAAAAACTGAAAAATATAATAAAATTAGAAATAGATAGATATCTCCAAATTTGCTTAAGTTAATATGTTCAGAGTATTCTAAAATGTCGAAACATTGCATTAAAATCGCATGTCCGTACGTATATATGTACGTATGTGCAGATTTGATGTCCGAGCTTGCTCCAACTTCCGCAAATTTGAAGATATCGATCTATTTCTAATTTTATTATATTTCTCAGTTTTTTCTACCCCTATTTCTTATATAATTTTTTAAGATTTGGTTGATTAGACCCAGAAATCAAAAATCCATAATTTTGATCGCATATAAAGCTAAGTCTAATCAACCGAATTTAAAAGAATTATATATGAATTATATTTTTCAGTCTTTTCTACCCCTATTTCATATATAATTCTTATATATGCTAAGTAGCGGAGCACCTCGCGAGGTAGAGGAGTGTTTCGCGAGGTAGAGGAGCGCCAAAGATCCATAATTTTGATCGCATATAAAGCTAAGTCTAATCAACCGAATTTAAA